GTGGGACACACTTTATTACAGGTGAGTGATATAACTAAAGCTGTAGGGATTTTTTTAGGGAAGTTAAACTTCAGTTTTAATGTCATTTTTTACTGCCCTCTTTTGATTCCTGAGTTTAAATGATCTTCTATTTCCTCTTTGCAGACACGATTGCAAAGCTTTATGAGGTCATCGAAACAGTTGATAAATGGCCTTTAATCTGCATTCTTTTCAGGTTTCTCAGGTATACCTTTCAAAAGACTGAATAAAAAGGGAACAGTGGTAAGCAGTATTATGGGTAAATTATACAGTTTCTAAAACTTTATATAGTATCTCTACCAGACTTCCCACTGCAAAGGGGAAGAAGAGACTATCTCTAGTAAACACAGTAACGTTGTTTGAAGGATTGGTGTGAGCTGCTGTGGGCCCCTTGTACTCAGTTCACCCTGCTACTAGTAACATTGTACTCAACCTACAGAGCAAACAGAAAGTGCACAAGCTTTGTGTGTCACCTTCATAAAACCTTCATTGTAGAAAGTAAAAGCTGGAACTCACAAACATTCTTTATGATATATAAAATAACCTGCAGTAGAAAAACCTGCTAAATGCTCATTGCATAGGGAAAATCCTATAGTAAATCATCATAGGAAGCACGCAACTGCTAGCTCTACCTTCCATCACCGCTGACCAGTTTTAAGGGTTGATCCTCTTGCTCTTCTTATGAACGTGGCCTTGAAATAAGTTAGTGGAAATGCAGAACATGGTTAAAACAGTGCAGCGCTAAAATTATGGATCCGAGTAATTTGTTTCCGGGCATTTGCTGACTACTATCCTGAGGGAGGACCACCTAAGCCTTGACCAGACCTATATCTTATGAGGAAACCTCTGGATGTGATACTATTAAGCATCTGGTGAGTGTATAATTCTACCATTTTTCACGGAGCACCACCATCAAGTTTTAACCAGTCACCTGGCACCTTATAGTCACATAGACTGTCATTTATATCAAACTTTTACTATCAATTTGTCGTCTAATACCGTCTTTTATTTTGAATCATAATTTTAGTGCTGCGCTGTTTTATCTATTCTATTGTAAGGTTTATGTTGGTTACCTTGAGTGCTTAGCTGCTGATTGGATAGCGCTCACGTTTACATTTTTATTATTAATACAGAGCATGGCCAAGACTAGAGATAAGCTCAGGAACCCTTGAAAATCATCTCTAACCCAAACTTTTTTGTACTGCACTGAGAAGTGGTCTAGGTCACGTGAACTGCAGGATGGGGAATGACCTGGTCCACAACCTATTGCAGTATAAAAAAGTGGGAGATTTGTGTTTGGGTTAGAGATGAGATCTGAGCCCAAACTCATCTCCAGTAAAGAAAACAAATGAGAAGGTTTTAAGGCCAGTTCACACCGCAAGTCCTGCATTCTGGATGCTTTTGTGCATGTGCATTTTTTAAAGCGTTCTGTTGTATTTTTCCCCTCTTGTTTTCTTTAGCTTAATTGAGGACATGTGCATTCCTTTGCATTTTTGATGCATTTGCAGTGTTCCAGGTGTGTTCAGTACAGAACCATAGCAGAACTGCAATGCAATGATATGCACTACAGATCGCTGTGCTGAAAAAAGAACTGTACTGTATGCAGTATTATATTTCAGTGCACACCACAGCAATATTGTAGTGTGAACTGAGGCAATAGAAAGCAAGGCTTTCTGCTCTATGTGTCAAGGTTGTGCTGGAAATATCTGCCAGTGCAGCCCCACTGCGTCTGGTGTAAATGGGTCCTAACTGTTTTATTGAAAATTCCAACTCACAGCCAAGAACACAAATGTCTATAGGAAGATACAGTATGTCTATACAACATTCTAAAACAGACATACACCTGTATGTGCCAAGGTGTGCCTGTATAAATTGGATGTCATCAATACAAAATGCCAAGGGAGGTCAGTGACATTTCCTGGAACAGTAAAGCATGTCTATTACATTGTACTTTTTTGTACTACTGCAGAATGTGTTAACATAGATCTAAAAGCTGTGTTTATTCAGAATGCAATTTAGAATATGGTTGCTATGGGGCACGTAGAGGTGGGGGGGTCCATTTGGAGTGGACTTTCAAAGGACAGCTGCAGGGTCCAATCCCTGCTGCCAGGCCCACAGAGTGGCATTGGGCACCCTGTGCTGGAATGCTCAGGGCTGTGCTCAATTAGATATCATAAGGAGTCATTGTAGACCTACAATCAGTAATGGCACTGTTGAGTTAAGTTGAAATCACTGACCCAGGTGCTGGAGAAGTTTAATTTCCCCATGCTGTTAGCAGGGAAAGCGGTGGAATATCTTCTGCTTTCCTTCCCACTTCCGCCCCATAAGCCTCCAACCAACTGCAGATCCCCTAACCTCCCAAAGTGCTTCCCACTCCCCTGCAGTTTTGAAGGGCCTTCAGCCCCCAACATTCAGTAGTGCCCCACAGTGCTTTCAAACCTCCAAAAGTGCCCCTCAGTCACCATAGTGCTCTTAAGTCTCCCACAGTGTCCCTGCAAAGCCCCCAGCTCCTCTTGTGATCCCAGACCCCTGAAAAGACCCCTAGGTCCCTCCAGAGCCCCTGTTCACTACAGTTCCCCCAGCCTCCTCTGGAATCCCATCCCCCACAGTGACACCCAGCTCCAACTAAAACCCTTAGTCCCCCAAAGATGTCCCCCCAGTGCCATCCTGATCCCCTGGTGAATTTTAAAGCCCCTCATATTTTTCCTCCAATTGACACAAACGTAGGGTCATTTGTTTCTCCTGCTGACCACTTAAGCCAGAATGCTTTTGTCCTACTGACCACCAAGACTGGAGCATTCTCATTCCATCCATTTCCAAAAAATTCTCACAGCAAAAGCAATGTGAGGTGGAGCACCATCTTGCCAAAACCACATTTTATGTTTATATATTTATTTGTTCCAACAAAGGAATTTCATCTTATTTAGAGATCAGATAAGATTGTAACATACAGGTAAGCTTCTTTGTTACTTTACTAACAAGTAAATATGACCCAGTTAATCTGCCACCAAATATTACAGCCCACACCATAATTAGCGGACTGATTTAAAACACGGCCATAAGCCATCCAGTTTGGGTTGTTTACGGACTAGTAAAACATGCATTGTGTCAGTTGACACTACTACTGAGACAAAATTGGGCTTTATAACTGTATTTAGTGCTTGAGTACAGAGTATTCTGATCTTCTTCAGCGGGGCTCCTTAACCCCTATGCAAGAAAAATAAAAGTGAGCTTGCTGAGGGGTTAAAGAGCCCCGCTGAAGAAGATCTGAATACTGTGTACTCAAGCAGTAATTGATGTTTGGCATGGCGCTGATTCACAGTGTATGAAGGATTGTGGATCACTTATTGTTAGTAGGATCTTGGAGCATAATGCCCTGGTCTGAGTTAAGCCTGCACGATCTGTCAATCTGTTTATTTTTTTTAGGTACTAAGAGTGGAAGAGGACACATTGGTTTGAGGAACATTGAAAATTGGTGGAACATTAAGAACTGGTGGATTCAAAGAAGATACCATTTTTGACATTTTGAAAATAATATTTTTCTTGGGGACCTAGAGTTGGACAATTGTGTGTTTTTGTACTTACTTTTCATTAGCCCCAAATGTACGAAAATGGATATTTCTGTGATGTCACTAATGTAATAAAAGGGCACATTTTACTTAGCCCTCAATGTAAAGCGAGTTGTTATCAGTGGTGTAGCATGGCAGTGGGGAGAGGTGATGCTTTTAGGGATGCAATATATTCCAATGGCCACAAGATCTGTCAGAAACCACTAAAATAGGTTGTTAGGGAGCCCTATCAAAATGTTGCCATGGGGCCCTGTGAGCTGTAGTTATGTCTCTGATGCAATGTACATGTTTGAGGTCAGTGTTATATGGGGACTGGTTCGAGCAGTAGACCAACTAAGCATTGCACTTACTGGTGTTCAGAATATATATTTCATATTGCAATGCTCTAGGGTTCGATGACAGAAAAGAAACAAGGATGGCAAGTCTAAGGCATGAAAATGTGAACATAGAATCTTGCCAAGGTATAGGCTATGGTCTTTACCAGAGCCATTGAAGGCAGTATTGGTAGAAACAGGCACACTATAAAGGGTGGTACATTTAATTTAACAAAATTTATGATGGACAACATAGGAGCATCACAAGCTGCCCTTAAAAAATGAATTGGAAACATATTGATTCAATAGCAGGTCTCTGCACTTTTCAATGCACCTAAAAACACCTTCTAGATTACATATAACATATGCATAGTTTGTAATGATATCTAGCTGGATTCTCAGTTTTGTGAAGAAAATAAAGCTATAGAATTTCAATGGTAGACTGAGCAGCAAGTGAAATTTGTGATTCCTACTGTCTGGAAATCCTGGACATGCGGGAAAACAAGGCACACCCATACAGTCTACTACTTATGTAGGGTACACACTATAAGTAAGAAAAAAAAAACAACTGTCAGATTGGCTGTAAGCGCTGGTTGGATGCAGGTCAGCTGCTGGTTTTCCAGCATGTCCGTTAGACAAAAGCAGGATATTAGGATGCTGAACACACTGGCCTTATGTCATCCGGTTTCTGTTCTGCCAATATTCGGCCAGTGTGTACCACCCTTAACTAGTCTGGGACCCAATTCTATACATCCTAGAAATTGCCTTTACGGAACTAATCAACAATAGGCGTTTGTAATAATCTGCAACTCCACTCTTGCATTTATGTAACAGTGCAGCCTTGCTTTCTAGCCTCTTGCCGACCCGCGCATAGCCGAATGACGGCTTCACCGCGGCCGGCCAGTTCTGGGTGGACGTCATATGACGTCCTCCCAGAACGCGCTCTCCTGCGCTCCCCAGGGGGCGCGCAACCCGGCAATCTCCGTGATCGCTGTGTCCTACGGACACAGCTGATCACGTGATGTGGTAAAAGGCCAATCACAGCGGCCTTTTACCACGTGATCAGCGGTGTCCAATGACACGCTGATCACAGGGAAATGCAAGTGCCGGTTCTCGGCTGCACTTTCCTCACGCTGTCAGATCGTGAGGAAAGTACTGCCGAGAACCGGCAGTTGTCAGAGCGGGGATCGGCACCGATCATCAGGGCACTGATGATCAGTGCCCTGATGATCGGTGCCCAGCAGTGACACCCGCAAGTTCCGCCCAGCAGTGCGCCCACTAGCTCCGCCCACCCGTGCCCAGCAGTGCACCCACCTGTGCCCAGCAGTGCCCCCACCTGTGCCCAGCAGTGCCCCCACCTGTGCCACTCTGCAGTGCCACCTACCTGTGCCCAGAAGTGCCACCTACGTTTGCCCAGCAGTGCCACCCACCTGTGCCCACCAGTGCCACCCACCTGTGCCCACCCACCAGTGCTGCCCCACCAGTGCCACCCACCAGTGCAGCCCAGCAGTGCTGCCAGTCAGTGCCACCAGTCAGTGCCCAGGGGTTGTGCCAGTCAGTGCCCAGCAGTGATGCCAGTCAGTGCCGTCTATCAGTACCCATAATCAGTGTCACCTATAAGTGCCACCTATCAGTGCTGCATATCAGTGCCTCCTATCCGTGACCCCTAATTAGTGCTGTCTATCAGTGCCGCCTATCCGTGCCACCTCATTAGTACTGCCTATCAGTGCCCTTTAGTGCTGCCTATCAGTGCCCATCAGTGCTGCCTATCAGTGCCTATCAGTGCTGCCTCATCAACGCACATCAGTGAAGGGAAAAAATACCTGTTTGAAAATTTTATAAAAGAAACAAATAAACTTTTTTTTTTTTTAAATTTTTTGCACTTTTTTTATTTATAGCGCAAAAAGTAAAGCGCCCAGTGGCGATTAAATACCACCAAAAGATAGCTCTATTTGTGAGAAAAAAATGATCAAAATTTCATATGGGTACAATGTTGCATGACCGCGCAATTGTCAATCAAAGTGCTGGCAGCGCTGAAAGCTGAAAATTGGCCTGGTAAGGAAGGGGGTATAAGTGCCTGGTAGGCAAGTGGTTAGAGAACATGTGATTATTCATCATTTTCTTATATTTTCTGTGAGAGCAGAAGTGTCAGGCTATAATGTTATCCTGTCTCTTTCCTGAGCTCAGTGCTAATATCTGACTCTCACAAAACTGTCACATAGCAAAGGGACAGTTAAGATTAAATGAAATAAAACTAAACGCTTGTATTAGTGGGGGAGTGTAATAATATTGTTACATTCCACCAGTGGCTTGAAGAGAATGTCAGTTATCTGCTGGAGCTTAAAGCAAAACTTCATATTGGATCACTGCGGCAGATCCACCGGAAGTTCACCCCTAAACCTTCCCCCCCCCACAACGACCTGGGACAACTTCCCATGTCCCAGAAGGCTGCAGGACCGTTCACAAAATGCAGCACATTTCATGCATGTGCAGTGGGAATCCATCTGTAAAGCTGTACATGCCATACATACCAACCCAAAGATCAGTGAAGAACTAGGATGGCACTGGATCCCTAGACAAGTAAGTGTCCTTTTATTAACCACTTTAACCTCCTGAGGATTTACCCCACTTCCTGACCAGGCCATTTTTTGTGTTTCGGCGCTGACAATTGCGCGGTCATGCAATGCTGCACCCAAATTTAATTTACGTCCTTTTTTTTTCCCCACGAATAGAGCTTTCTTTCAGTGGTATTTGATTGCCTGTGTGGTTTATATTTTTTTGCGCTTTTAAAAAAAAAAGCTCGACAATTTTGAGAAAACAACAATGTTTTTTATATATTTACTATTAAACGTGTCCAGTAAATAAAAAATCAAATTTCTTTATAAATTTAGGCCAAAATGTATTCTGCTACATGTCCTTGCTAAGAAAAATCCCAATACATATAAATTAATTGGCCTATGTAAAAGTTATGGCGTTTACAAATGACGGTATATATACTGGAATTTTTTTTTTTTTTAGACTAGTAGTGGCGGCAATCAGTGACTTATAGCGGGATTGCAGGACTGCAGCGGGCGTTCTGACACTGGGAGAAACTGACTGGGACACTGTACTAATGGCACTGGGCAGGAAGGGGTTAACATGTGGGGTGATCAAAGGGTTAACTGTGTGCTGTTTTACTGTAAGCTGTGTGTGTGCTTTCAACTGTAAGCACACTGCTTTGTATGGCACTGCTATGCAGTGTGCAGGAGCTGACAGGGGAGATAACTGTATTGTTTACATGCAATTCTCTCCCTCGTTGGTAATGCTCGGCGATCACTGGGTGCCAGCGAGTAATCATTGACAGCCGAGGCCCCGAATAGCGGTGCGGGTAGCGTGCCAGTGCAGCTCTCGTGCGCCTCCTACCCGGGAATGCAAAATCATGTATATACAGTATATCTACTATAGGGCAATGGAAAAGTGGTTAAAAGTTAACAGCTACAGTATTTGTAGTTGCTGACTTTTAATTTTTTGGGGGGAGACTGCAGCTCCTCTGTAATCAGAAGAGACATGAACCTCCATGGGACCTTACAGCTGGATCCTGGCATCTGGCAGAGAATAAATATAAGTGAATAATAGCACACACCCTGAGAGATAAGTCAAACTGGTAACCAATCTGTAATTACACTACACCACTACTTGTTAATTAATTACTCTTTATGGAGCCTATTGTGCTTCCTTGTATGCATGAAAGTTTGGCAAGGGAAAGCTCTCTGTTCTGTTCCAAGGCTAAGTTTTACAATGATGATTCACTATACTTTTTTTTTTCCTATTTCCAATTGATTCCACCACTTACGCTTAGAAAATCAATCATTGGCACTACAAAGTTCCAACATGGCTGTTTGTTTGTACACAAACTTGAATCCAGCATAGCAACCCACACAGCCTTACTGAATTACTGCAAATTCACTAAGACACTCAAAATGACAATGAGCTCTGGTTTTCCTAAAAAAATCTATTCAACTATGAATTCTTTTTTTCCATAATACATTTTTATTTGGTTTTTACAAATATAGTTACAACAATAAAAAAAACAAATACAAAAAATAGGACAGTGAAAAGCTACACAATATCACAGTAAAGATGCTGCGGTACAGTTTAACAAAGAGCAAAAAGGAAATATTGAATTAATTCCTAAAAATCCTACTAGTTCCACAAAATAATCATTTTAGAGTATCCAACTTTGAATTTTTGAGCTCAGAAAAGTACCTTCTCTTGTTCTCATTCTCCTCCAAATCTCCAAATTCTTTGTTTTTGTATTTTTTTGGAGGGAGGTGGGTTGCTGCTGTCATTTGGCTATGTTCTCCATGGTCCCACTGTATGTACAGTTGCAAGAAAAAGTATGTGAACCCCTTGGGATTACGTGGAGTTTTGCATGAATTGGGCATAAAAATGTGCTCTGAACGTCATCTAAGTCACAACAATAGAAGAACACAGTCTGCTGAACATAATACTACACAAACATTAGACGTTGCCATGGTTTAATTGCACATAACATGTGAACATTCACAGTGCAGGGAGGAAAAAGTATGTGAGCCCTAGCTTAATGACTTCTCCCAGAGCTAATTGGAGCCAGGAGGGAACCAACCTTGACTCCAATCAGTGTGATGATATTGGATGTGTTGCTGACAGCTGTCCTGCCCTTAAAAAACACACACCTGTTTTGGGTTTACTGGTTTCAAGAAGCACTGTCTGATGTGAACCATGCCTCGCAGAAAAGAGCTCTCAGAAGACCTACGATCAAGAATTGTTGACTTGCATGAAGCTGGAAAGGGTTACAAAAGTATCTCCAAAAGCCTTGATGTTCATGTGTCCACGGTAAGACAGACTGTCTACCAATGGAGAAAGTTTAGCACTGTTGCTACTCTCCCTAGGCGTGGTCGTCCTGTAAAAATGACTGCAAGAGCACAGCGCAGAATGCTGCATGAGGTAAAGAAGAATCCCAGAGTGTCAGCTAAAGACTTACAGAAATCTCTGGCACATGCTAACATTTTTGTTGTCACATCTACAATAAGGAAAACATGAAACAAGAATGGAGTACATGGGAGGACACCACGGAGGAAGCCATTGCTGTCCAAAAAGAATATTGCAGCACGTTTGAAGTTTGCCAAAGAGCACCTGGATGTTCCACAGCACTACTGGCAGAATATACTGTGGACAGATGACACCAAGATTAAGTTGTTTGGGAAGAACACACAACACTATGTGTGGATAAAAAAAGGCACAGCACACCAACATCAAAACCTCATCCCCACTGTAAAACATGGCGGAGAGAGCATCATGGTTTGGGGCTGCTTTGCTGCCTCAGGGCCTGGATGGATTGTTGTCATTGATGGGAAAATGAATTCCAGAGTTTATCAAGACATTTTGCAGGAAAACGTACGACCATCTGTCCGCCAACTGAAGCTCCGCAGAGGATGGGGGTGATGCAACAGGACAATGACCCAAAACATACAAGTAATTCAACAAAACAATGGCTACAACAGCACAGAATACGCCTTCTGGAGTGGCCCAGTCAGAGTCCTGACCTCAACCCGATTGAAATGCTGTGGCATGACCTAAAGAGCGATTCACACCAGACATCCCAAGAATATTGCTACACTGAAACAGTTTTGTGAAGAGGAGTGGTCCAAAATGACTCCAGATCGTTGTGCAGGTCTGATCTGCAACTACAGGAAACGTTTGGTTGAGATTATTGCTGCCAAAGGAGGGTCAACCAGTTATTAAGTCCAAAGGTTCACATACTTTTTCCTCCCTGCACTGTGAATGTTTACATGTTATGTGCAATTAAACCATGGCAGCATCTAATGTTTGTGTAGTATTATGTTCAGCAGACTGTGTTCTTTTATTGTTGTGACTTAGATGACGTTCAGAGCACATTTTATGCCCAATTCATGCAAAACTCCACGTAATCCCAAGGGGTTCACATACTTTTTCTTGCAACTGTAGATACTCTCTCGCCCCCCATATGAACTAGAGACTATTGACTATGGGATGTGTAGCATACATACAGCAGTGCACACCATTTCAACTAACATGCGCTGCTTGTTCCAAACAAACAGATAAGAGGGGGTAAAGCAGAGGTTCTGGAAGTAGAAAAGCACAGTAAGTAACAATTTCATGAAAAATAGATTACAGGACCATTAAGTAGTGGAAATATATGGATAATTTTTGGATAATAAGGATGTTGTTTAGGGTCACTTTAAACTATTCTGGATGTTGCCAGAGCTATTGCCATTCTGGGATGTAAAGCTCCCTATAACAAGTGATCCACCACAATGACATACTACACTTCATCATACCAAGAGACCAATAAAAAATTGTGAATGAACACAGTTTTCACCCATGGAAGTATTTTAAAAGAAACTAGTAAATATGGTAATAAATTCACAATTAGTTTACAGTACAATGATGCTTTCATGTAA